TAATTCATTTTTTAACAGCCCGGTAGCTGTTCTTGATCTGATGTTCTTCTGTGGCCACTAAACCTTATATGTCTTATATGTATTACACACTTTGGGCTCTTTTTTCCATACGGAAAAGAACACGTGACATGAATTTTAATAGACTGCAAGAAGCTCACATCTCCCCTCAGCAGGTAAAATTTTCACCAACTTCCTAATAAACAAATGCAAATGCCAGCTGAAGCTAAATGCAGTGCCAGTGTTGATGCTTGCACACGAGCACAATGAAAGAAAGACAGAAATCTTACTTTTGTGAACATGAGTGTCTGCACCAAATTCCATTCCAGTCTGAGTTTGTTTCACTTAAAAATCACAGATGTGAAGCTCACGATGGCTTTACAGGGAAAAACAAAGGGATTGCCAAAGTCAGCACAGTTCATGCGGTTGAACCTGTGAACTTTGACCTTCCAGGGATAAGCCAAGACTTCTGGGGACCATAAATATATGGACACTAAATCATGGAATGGAATCCAGTAGTTGTTTGGCTTGAAACACTTAAAAACAATTAAACAGTTACTTCACCTTCACTAGGATCCCCTTTTTTTAAATGGGAAATATTCTCTCAGATGAAAGGACGAGCCCAAAAAGTGTTATTTTGAACTCGCTGGACTAAACTGTGTCTGTTCTCCCAGAAGGCTGTTGGATGGATCAGTGAGTCAGTAGGATAAATCTGGGCAGATACATTGAAAGAGCCCCAGATGCTTTAGCGGAGCTGCTCAGTGTCAAACAGATCACCCTGCAGTTATACTGAGGAACTTTCAGGTGTGAGTGTGAGAGCAAGGCATTCCTGGCAGAAGAGAGCTCTGCTGGAAATGCCTTCACCCACATGGATTTTTACATTTAAGGACTGGTTGCTTTTGCACAAGAATTTGTCAGTAAATGGAACATAGAGTGCTGTATATAGAAACGTTTAATTCTTATGTTGTGACATAATTGAAATATATAAAAACGCAAGGCTTTAAATGCTAATAGAGGCTTTTTGGGACTAAACAAATTAGTTATGCCTCTGTTCCTGAGCTCGTCTGATGCCAGTGAAACTGTTTAGTTATTTCCTCATGGTCTTGGGTCACGGGAGTACAGAATCGCACCACTCAGGCCTGTTGCAGCATCTGTGCCATATCAAGTAGAGCAGGACACGTCACGTTGTTCATTTTTCCCAACCGCTGGTGTTTTAAGACACACACACACACACACACACACACACACACACACACACACACACACACTGAAACAATTAGCAGTGGCCTTGTGGTTAAATAATAGACTGTAGGCATTCCTGGTAATTTCAGTGGAGGAAAAAGAGGATACTTTTATCCACTTCTTCTACAACGTCCACATGCTTCATCTTTCACAGCAGACACAGATGCCCTCCATCCACACCCACACTGTCAACAAATCTATACCACAAACATCTGAACCGACCTGGGTTGCTCTCCAGTTGTTAAATCGAGAGGAGATCAATTCCCGTTGGTTATAGTCTTCAATTACTGGATGCATCGGCTAAAAATGTATGGACGGTTTTGACAGCTGCAAGTCAGTAAATAAGCATTGAAGCTATGTCAAAGCAGTGAAGGTGTCTCATTTGATTTTTAACCTTTACGTATTAATAGTTAAATCATCACACAGCGCAAACATCGCCTCAACTACAAGCTGAAAATGCTAAAAAGTTCCTTCATTACTTGCTTACATGAAAAACAAGATAAAACATTCTCCACCAAACTCTGCAGGTAAAAAAAAGAAGCTTAGCATAGCGAAATAAAAAGGAACATGAGTAGCAAAGGATAAGGAGGCAATGATTTATGTATTATTAACTGCAATAGGAGTCAGCTGCATGTACAGAATCACACATGTATAAACAAACCTCAGACAAACAGCGAGTCAAGGTTTAAAAACTGCTGAGAGGCAGAATGGGAGGACAGAAAACTGGGAGAGGATAATTCCTGAAAGATTATTTCTTTACCAGATGACAGGCTCAGCTTTTCCATAGACACACGCATGCACACATGGACGACACTTCTCTGCTCTGCATTTCACGATACAGTAATATTTCTCCAGGGAGGGAGCATTCGTGTGTGCGCGCGCGTGTGTGTTTGTAATGGCAAAACCATCAAGTGCAAAAAGAAAGGAGAGGACACAAAAGGAGAAACAAAGAGACAGACGGGCGTCTGATGTGTAGAACGGTCATGTGTCTGACTCATTTCTGCACCGTTTAATATCCTGGAAACTTCACATTTTGCACACATCCACGTCCCTCATTTGATCCGGGCTCATTTTCCTACTCTTTTTCTCCCAAAAACCAGCTTTTCTAAAGTAAATAAGAAAAAAAGAAGTCTAACCAAAGTACACTCAACAAAAATATAAACGCAACACCTTTGTTACTGCTCCCATTCCCCATGGGATGGACGTAGAGACCTAAAATTCATTCCAGATACACAATATAACCATCCCTCCCAAACAGTGGTCACAAATCAGTCCAAATGTGTGGTAGTGGGCACATCTGCTATATTGAGATAATCCATCCCACCTCACAGGTGTGCCACATCAGGATGCTGATCTGACATCATGAGTAGTGCACAGGTGTACCTCAGACTGCCCACAACAAAAGGCCACCCTGGAATGTGCAGTTTTTTGCGCTATTGGGGGTCTGGGGACCCAGAACCGGTCAGTATCTGGTGTGACCACCATTTGCCTCATGCAGTGCAACACATCGTCGCATGGAGTCTATCAGATTGTCAATTGTGGCCTGTGGAATGTTGGTCCACTCCACTTCAATGGCTGTGCGAGGTTGTTGGATATTCGTGGGAACTGGTACACGCTGTCGTATACGCCGGTCAAGCACATCCCGAACATGCTCAATGGGTGACATGTCCGGTGAGTATGCTGGCCATGCAAGAACTGGGACATTCTCAGCTGCCATCTGCCCTGAACAATGTGAACCATGATTCATCCGTGAAGCGCACACCTCTCCAACGTGCCAGACGCCATCGAATGTGAGCATTTGCCCACACAAGTCTGTTACGGCGACGAGCTGGAGTCAGGTCAAGACCCCGATGAGGACGACGGGCATGCAGTTGAGCGTCCCTGAGACGGTTTCTGACAGTTTGTGCAGAAATTGTTTGGTTGTGCAAACCAATTGTTCCAGCAGCTGTCTGGGTGGCTGGTCTCAGACGATCTTGGAGGTGAACCTGCTGGATGTGGAGGTCCTGGGCTGGTGTGGTTACACGAGGTCTGCGGTTGTGAGGCCGGTTGGATGTGCTGCCATATTCTCTGAAACGCCTGTGGAGACGGCTTATGGTTGAGAAATGAACATTCAATGCACGGGCGACAGATCTGGTTGACATTCCTGCTGTCAGCATGCCAATTGCACGCTCCCTCATTGCTTGTGGCATCTGTGGCATTTTGCTGTGAGACAAAACTGCACATTCCAGGGTGGCCTTTTGTTGTGGGCAGTCTGAGGTACACCTGTGCACTACTCATGATGTCAGATCAGCATCCTGATGTGGCACACCTGTGAGGTGGGATGGATTATCTCAATATAGCAGATGTGCCCACTACCACACATTTGGACTGATTTGTGACCACTGTTTGGGAGGGATGGTTATATTGTGTATCTGGAATGAATTTTAGGTCTCTACGTCCATCCCATGGGGAATGGGAGCAGTAACAAAGGTGTTGCGTTTATATTTTTGTTGAGTGTACTTAAGTCAGTATGTTTTTGGATAGAGATGCATTTTTTTGAGTTTTGCCTCTGTACACCACCACAGGTGATTTTAAATCAAACAATATAGATGTGATTGAAGTCAGATTTTTATTTATTTTATTTTTTAAAGCTTTAATTCAAGGGGTTTAACAAATGTATTGCATTTACCGTCCCCCCATTTCAGAGGGTTGAAAAGTAATTGGGTAAGGGCCCTTACCATTGAAAAATATCCCATTTCTTTTCTTTAAAAAACTCTTGGGTTGTTTTGAGCCAGTATCTATTTCACCATGAAGCGCTGTCGAATCAGTTTTTGCAGCATTTGGATGAATCTGAGCAGAGTGTACAGCCTTGAACGCTTCAGTATTAATCCTGCTATTTCTACCAGGGGTCACTTCATCAAAAAAACCTCCACTAGTTACCTGGTTTCACTGAAAGCCATATATTATCATATCATAACATTACCTCCTCATGCCTGACACACTGTTTCTCTCCTTCTACTAACATTTCTCTTGCCATCGTTCTGGTAGAAGTTATACTTTGTTTCATCTGTCCAATATTTTTTTTCTGAACTGTGCAGGCTCTTTTAGAGACTTTACCTCTACCTCCCAGAGAATCTTCTTACATTATTAGATATTGTAAAGTTGTTTTCCTTAACCATGGAAATAATTCTGTCATCATCCACTTTCATCTTCTGTGGTCTTTCAGGTCTGTTGGTGTTGCTGAGAGAACCAGTGCATTCATTCTTTTTAGAAATGTAACAGACTTTTGATTTGGCCACTTCAAAAGTTACAAATTAAACAGTTTGAAACAACTTCCAGTGTTACGTGTGCTACATTTATCATGAAAACAGGCCTCAGTGTGGCACGAACCTGCTTATGAGTCAACTGTCCAATTCATTTTGAGCTTCTGAAAATGGGGAACTGTACATAAAAAATGACTGTAATTCCTAAACAGCCAGTATAATATGTTTGTTAAAGCCTTTGAGTTAAAGCTGAAAGTCTGTGCTTCAATCACATGTTGATTGTTTGATTTAAAATCCACTGTGGTGGTGTGCAGAGGAACACTACAAAAATCTGATCCTTTTTTTGCTGCAGGAGCGTCTGTACATGTGGTTAAACAGGCAGCCCGTATGCCAAAGGCTGTTTGTGTTCATATCTGCCACAGACCATCTCCTGCGTGTCATTTCCCCCACTTTTCTCCTTTTCCATCTAATAAAGGCTTAAAGAAAACCTTACCAGTTGAAATGGGATTCAAAAAAAACTTTAGTCAAGACCAGAGTTTACTGACTGAAGAACAGCTAAGATATGCATGTAGTACATGTGCAGAAACATGCGTGACTTTACCCCCACTGTTTTAATTTGTAAACATCTGTCTGACTCATAAATCTTAATTGTCCAATGCAACCTTTAACCATTTCCACAGACCCTGAATGACCTCCTCTCCCTCATCTCTGCTACTTCACATTTTCAGTTTCCCTGGGGAAATACTTTAAGCTTCTTCCCGCTCCACTTTTCCTTTACATTTCTCCTTTATTTTCTCCGCTTTCCTTTTCTCTGCCCACTCCAACCATTTTCCCTCACTTCTTTCTGTATTTACTGCTACAGTCTTACTGTCATAGCCTTATTTGTCCTAATAGCACACGTTTTAGTTGTGCCTCTCACTTTGGTTCCCTTTGTGTATTTTCTGGCAACATCATCTGTGTTTGTGTCTGTCTCCATCTCTCTGTCTGCATGTGTTTTTTTCTACTGCCTTCCCTTTCACAGTTCATCTGTTTTTCTCAGCCATGCACACGCACACACCAACACACACACACACACACACACACCTCTTTTTCTCCCTTTTAACCGGGGAAAGTTGTACTGGCATTGAGTTTCAATACAGTAGGAAATATTTTTAACCATGCAGGAAATGTCTAAACAGCTCTAATCATTCTGCTCTCATGCTGACCCACCCACGCATAGACATATATACACGCATAGATTTTTAGTTTTGTTAAAAAGAAAAAAAAAACAGCAACTTTTTACATCACAAAATGAAATCCAGGGTAAAAAAGGAGAGCTGGAGCGCATTTAACTTAATTCGATTTCATTCAGCAAACCGACCCTGGAGGGGGAGCCAGGCTGCAGATGGGAATGGGACCATAAAAATACTGGTCTGTCAGCGGGAAGAGCAGCACCAGAAACAGCAGGCCTCCCATCAGATATGAGAAGAGCAGAGCTGAACTGTGAGGGTGTTGCAGGGCAGAGCTGATGTCAGGCAGGCCCTGACTGTTGCAAAATGAATGGCACAAAACTGGACCGACAACATGCCCTTAAAAAAACCCAAAACAAAACAAAGATTTCAGATGAAATGGGTTGATTACCGTAGGCGAATTATCGTATAGATCACATATCTTACCAGTTCTCATGAATATAAAGGCAGTAAAAGCACCAAAAACAGTTGTGTACAAGAACTGCATCCCTGTGAGAGAAAAAAAGATGCGATCAAAGTGCTCAGTTTTAGTTTTATCAGTCCATGTCACATAAAGATGATCAAAATCAAGCTAAAAGAAATGAGTCACCTTGCTCTGATCATGACAACATGGTTTGCCTTTTCAGCTAACTGACCTGCCACCAGAAGGATGACACTCATGCTCTCTTTCCCAAGGCGTCGCTCCTCTATGACATGGTGGAAATGAGCTAAAATGAGGCAGTTGACATTAAAGGCAGTCAAACCAAATGTAATGTAACACTTGCAAACATAGATTTGGAAGAAAAAATGAGGCACAAAATGCAACATTTATTATTCTCTCCTCCTTGGTGCAGAGGAAGGGTGGCGACTGGATTGGACAAAAGAGGGTGAATATGGAGCTGCCAGGCAGGAGGAAAAGAGGAAGATCACAGAGAGCGTTCATGGATGTAGGAAAGAAGGACATGCATAGGGTTGGTGTGACGGAGGAGGATGCTGGAGAAAGGCTGAGATGGAGACAGACGATCGGCTGTGTTGACCCCTAAAGGGAACTGCTGGAAGAAGAAGAAGTCTCTCAAACTTGGTGTTAAAGTTTAATCTGAAATAGTTCAAATATATGCAAATATGGTTTTTTTTTTCTGTTTGAAAACTTTTTCACATACCAACTCCAAAGAACAGTGGAGCGGTGACGATAGCGCCTGTGGGTCCCGTGCAGGGCATCAACATAGGAAGCATGGCCCCTCTGAACACCAGCTCCTCTGTCACTGGTGCCACCACCTGGTTTCTGAGCCACACTGCGTCCCCCGCACACCGCCTCCATGACTGAACATCTGGGAGAAGTGCATGAAAGCACACATGTGCAGCTCTCTGATTCCAGTTAACCCAACATAACATTCAGTTATTATAGAGACAAACGTACCCAGTGCACACTGCATTTCCCCGGTGAAGCCTTTGGGGTTGTCTATAGCAGAGTGAACCAGTGGGCCGAGATAAAAAACCTGACGTGGGAGAGTAAAACCAGTTGTTTATAAAATCTAGAGGATGTAAATAAAAAAAAAGATTAAACTGGAAACTACAGGGTACATTTGTCAGTGAGTGGTTTAAACTCGCCCATGGGGATATTACTGCAGAACGCAGACATTTAATGGAAGTTGCAAAGCTAAGCTGAGGCCACGCTTAGCAGGAATGGAAATAAATCTCTGAAATGTCAAGCATGCCTCAGCTAAGCATACATATATTGCTGTATGAGAGAAACGGGATCTACAGATTACTGTTTGAAGCTACTGAAAAACTCATTGACTATGGTTTTCTTCATTTCTGACAAATCTTATGTTAATGATGTAAATGTAAATAAATCCTGGGTTTTCATCTGTAAGTATTTAATGTGCGCTACATATAAAACTTCAGAGATATTTGTGCCCTCAGTTAAGCAATTTGAAATCAGTACTATTCTTTTCCATCTCTAATGAAGCAAAATGTTACAAATGTATGCTAAACAAAATTTATATTAATATTTTGAATGCAGAATCAAGTTAATCAGATATGGGATCCCCTGACTTACCATAGTAAGTAATAAAGGTAATATGGATGCAGCAACCAAACCGTCCATGCGAAGTCCCATCAACTCCCACACAGACACGTCCGCCTGAAAGGCAAAATGTGTTTTAGAAACCGTGAGAATGACGTTTAAACGAGTCACTGAAGTGAAACGAGTCACCGAACTTCATGTGGCCTTCAGATTAGCTCAAGAACAGTGTGGAGAGAGTTTCAATGAATGGGTTTCCATGGCCGAGCAGCTGCATCCAAGCCTCACATCACCAAGAATAATGCAAAGTGTCATATACAGTGGTGTTAAGCACTCCGCCACTGGACTCCAGAGCAATAGAGACGTGCTCTGTGGATGATGGACAATCCGATGGGTCTGGGTTTGGTGGTTGTCTGACTGCATTGCGCCAAGTGTAAAGTTTGGTGAAGGGGGGATTATAGTCTGGGGTTGTTTTTCAGTTGGGCTGAGCCCCTTAGTTCCAGTGAAAGGAACTCTTAATGCTTCAGCATATCAAGACATTTTCATGCTCCCAACTTTATAGGAAGAGTTTGGGGACGAGGGCGACTCCTTCCTGCTCCAACAGGACTGCGCACCAGTGCACAAAGCAAAGTCCATAATGACATGGATGAGCAAGCTTGGTGGGGAAAAACTTAACTGGCTTACACAGAGTCCTGACCTCAAACTGATGGAACATCTTTGGGATGGAAGAATGGTCAAAAATTCCCATAAACACTTCTTCTGTGGAAAGCCTTCCAAGAAAAGTTGAAGCTGTTATAGCTACATCATAGCAACATCACATTAAACCTTACGGATATTTCAAGTTCAAGTTGAGTTTGAAGAAAAAAAAGCAAATACTTTTGGGAATATTGTTCATAACATTTAATTTTAGAGGAGCAGTAATCACAGATTTGATTTGATTGGTATAGAATACTGATGGAAAAGATCCTTTACAAAGGTAACAATCGGGACAAATAAACAAACAGATACAGAATTGAACGATAGGTGGAGTTTAAATTGTCACAGAGTTGAGTTAAACTCATATTGCTGAAACTTGTCGGGTCACAAGGTAAATCCTCCAGGGGAAATGTTACTATCTACAGTATACTCACCTTGACATCAGCCCAGTGTATCCATGTCTTCACAACTGCAGGTGACACTACAGAGACCAGCAGCACACTAGCACAGCGACGCTTTATCACACTGGGATGATCCCTGCACGCACAGTTTAAGTTTAGTTGTCTGGCCTAACAGCACTTCTCTCATGCCTGTTGGTGAGCTGTATACCTTGGTGAGCTGCTTCTCCAGACGTACAAACTGCCAACGTAGAGACCAGCCAAGAATAGGCAGCTCAGCAAACCCAGAAAACACCTCGGGTGGGTGTTCTCTACCTGCATGACAAACGTGAGGGTTTGCAATCACAACTTCAGCTGGTTCTCCAGCTAAGCGGCGGCTAACAAAGGAGTGCAGGTTCACCCCGCTTTGGATCGGCTCGATCCTGTCAGTCATTTCAGATTAGTGAGTCCTGGTGATTAGCTGATTAGCTCTAATGCTCTATGAAGTCCAGTAACTGCACGCAAAAAACAAGCTCATTCAGGTAAACGGTACGAGTGTAAACAAGACTACGTGCAAACAAACATAATACATAACAGTAAATATTCAGTTTTGGTTATGACTCAATATTTTTATACTAGGGTCAGAGATAAAAAAAAACAAACAAACAAAAAAACAGGTGAAGCTTAGCCTCTCCGTGCCAGTAGAAGTAGTTGTGTAATTGGAAAACAAACATGTAGCCATCATAGAACACGAAAAAGCTAGTTCCCTGACCGGGAATCGAACCCGGGCCGCGGCGGTGAGAGCGCCGAATCCTAACCACTAGACCACCAGGGACATGCTGGAGGTTGTTATTCTGCACCTTACATCCAATCGCATACAAAAAACGATTTTCATGCCTCTATTAAGATCTTTTGGGGCTGCATCAGTTCACATTTGCTCTTTGCTGTGTTCGTGCAGTAGTACTAAACAGTGGCTCTGACTTATAATTTCTTTTATTAAACTGATCCATTTGATTTTTGTTAGCTGATTTATCAGTATCAGTCTACACGTCAAATAGATTATACAATGCCAAAAATATATAGTTAAGTGTATATATTCACATTTTAATTCATCAATATCTTTGGTTATATTGATAGTCTGCAGTCAGCAGGATTTACGAAGGTCTTATAAATAAAATAAAGAAATTACATGTTTTGTAAGAATCTTTATGACTCTGCGTTATTGTATGTACTTCTGTGTTCTACATTATAATCAATCCAATCGTTTTTGGCACTTAAAATATATTTATACAACTGTTATGTTATGGTTGTTGCTTCCCTCTTTGCCAGATCTCTTCTGAGAAAGAGATCTCTTATGTTAATGAGAGTATCATATTCATAAATAAAGCATAAATAATTGCCAGAAACTGATTGCAGCTTCTACTCTGTGACAGAAATGATCTTTCTGGCTTAAAGTGGCTCGATCCCATTCACAAGAGATATATTTGACATATGTTTTACATATTAAAGGCCAACAAGTCATTTACAACCGTTTAAATACCGCCAATCATAAATACTGGAAATCACTTATTGGCAGACGGTCAAAGCTGGCCCACTGGACAACTTTGGAAACTTTAAAGAAGAGCATACATTTTGTCCTTTTAACTAAAAGAAAAAGGTTGTTTTTTATGCATAAACAATAGCTTTCTGTTTTATAATTACAGGGCAGTCTGGAAAATAACTGTACACTGTTAAAACTGTTGAAATTACACTTTTCCCCCCTCTTATGTTAAGATATCTCAGAGATCACATGTGTAGTTAAGCTTCTCTACACTGGTCCGACCAACTTAACCCTAGTGGGCTGTATGTGGCCCATGATGTAAAATGAGTTTGACGTCTTTGGCTTAACAATTTAAGTAATTTCCTCACAGCTGGATTGCCAGTTGGAGATGCATTACCAAACCTCATTTGAGACACACCAAGCAAGGTAAAAACAGATATTTACCCTGAAGTGTTGTTAAATTTAGATTTCAGCTGTATTGATCACTATCCAGCAATGTCTGTTTTGTGATCACTGCAGCATCACATTAGGGGATATTTTTGTAGCGTCCAATGCCTTTATGCTATTTTGTGCACAGGGTGATTTTAGCATGTTACGATTATACATTAGGATCATATTACAGTTACTGCCCTGGGTTACATAATCTATGAAGTGTGATGAAGACTAAGTGATGAAAACCGTCATGACAGATGAGCAACCAGCCGATATGTTTTTATTTTCATCATCATAAACATCCTCGATTCATTAGACGCAGCTACAGTATGAATACATAGTGGCGCTGTGGAGCACAGTGCCACTTTATTAGCACACCTCCATAAGCATGCATGCAGTAGTCGACACAGAAATGGAAAGCACTTTGATTTCTGTGAATATTGCAGACGTGAGCAATCACATCCACAAAGACTGCAAGTTACCAAGGTGTAACTTTAGGCTGGAAACATCTTTGAGCTCCATGAGGCTGCAGGGGGTCATCCTGAATCTGAAAACACGTATCCTCCGCTAACAACATTGGGCATTCGAGTCCAGCTCATGACTTACCACATACTATTTTGATATCCAAAATGCTCGGGCGTGTTTATGGACTTTTTCCTCGGGGAAGTGACAAGTAGGGTGACATTACTAGAAACCTGCAGATTACAAACAACTGTAAACTAAACTTCCCCTCAAAGCTGCAAATATTTTGGCCTCGTTTTTCACAATGGAGAATAAGCCAGTGTTTGAATACTGAAAGTCACAGATTAGAAACAGAAACACACAAAAAGCAAATGTGCAATAGATGTAAAACAGTCAGATACATAATTTAAATAAATAAAAATAGGTGAAAAGAATCAATCAATACTTATATATTAAGACACACTTAAAATAATGAACACTTGAATTTCTTTTTTTTTTTTTTATCAGAGAAGATGACATATGTTTTGCAGTGTCAAACTCAGAGCAGTCCTCAAGGCACTTTAAATACAAGAAAATACAGAGCCCCAGCATCCTTAAAAAAACAGCTTTCTATTTTTTAAAAAAAGTACTCTTTTGGGGCTTTGGAGTAAAAGCCGTTTGTGCTTGTCCTCACTCGTCTCACTGTAACACACATTTTTCTTTGTTGCTGTATTTTCTCCTCCTCATTTCGAGACCACGCTCCAGACGCTCATCCTCCTCCAAGGCCCTGCAAACACAAAAACACAGTACGGTGCTGAGCTCATGGATATCTGCACCCCTCTATCATAGATAGGCATAAAGATCCAAATAACAAACTAATCTCTTTTGTTTTTTGGATGTATAATCTTCTTGTAACCCACTTTGTCTCTTTCACATAACCCTACATATACTGACCGTCTCTCCTTGGTGTCGATATCCCTGATGATCTCGTCCCTTTGGTTGACCAAAGACACCAGCTCCTGGAGGAGCAGCTGCTCCCTCTGCTGCTGAGCGGGTGACTTCTGCCAGTCTGCACAACAAACAGCAGAACTCAAAAAGATCAAATTCATTGTGTTTTAATTTTTTTTTTACCATTTAGATTTGTATTATTATCTGTAAATCATTTTGACTGATATTGTACAGATTACTTGTTTCCACTACTTTAATGACCTTCAATAGCCATGATTACGCGCAGTTCTCTGGTCAGAAGGTCAAATCTCCTCTCCAGATCCTGCTCCTCTTGTCTATAGATGCAGTTAAGAACAAGTCGGTTTAAAACAAATGTAAAATATACGTATATGAGTATGTGTATACTGATATGTGGGAGGTCTTACAGCAGTTCCAGGTTGTCTTGTCTGCGGATCAGAGCGTTCTTCTTGTTTACCAGAGTGAACCACTCCTGGATCAGTCTCTCCTCTTCATCACGGTCACTTCCTGCAACAGCAGAGAAAAGACATGAAAGCCTGTGAATATTTGAATATAGATAAAGATAAAGATCATTAAACATAAAGATCCACATGCAAGATACTATTTAACAACAAAAAGAAGTGTAAACTAGACTGAGCTGGATCTGGAATTTACTTCATTATAATCACAAGTAGAAGGCAGGTTAGCATCATGGCTGAGGAGGGTATTCATCTGCATGCAGGTCAGGAGATTTAAGGTTCGGTTCAATTTAGTTCATCTTTTTATGCATTTACATGTATATTTTTTGGTGTCTTATAGTGCCACCTTCCCCTCTTACAAGCACTCGGTGATGTTGGAGAGGAAGAACTCCCTTTTGACGGGAAGAGACCTCTAACACAGGCCTGCTCCTGACCTCCTTCAGTAAAATATATACATCCTGTCCTTCTACTACTTCCTGCAAAATACTGCATTAATTCTAAGATTCATCTTCTTACTTTCAAGTCTCTCCATAACCCTGCACCTCTGTATCTCACCGATCTTCTGCACATTGTCACAGCTTGCTCTACTCCACTCTGGGATCCTCCACCTCCACCATCCTCTGTTAGACCCCAGTTAGAGCTTTCAGACGATTGTCAGCTCGTCTTTGAAACTCTCTCCCACGCCACATTTGCAAAATTGATTTTCTCCCAATCTTTAAAGCCAACCTTCAAACACATTTTTAATATTGTTGATTTTTTTCATTCTCTGATGTGTTTTTAATCGCCATATACTCGATTTTGTTATTTCATTGCTTGTAAGATGTCCTTGAGTGCCCTGAAAGGTGCCTATTAATACAATAAATTATTATTATTATTTTATTATTATTATTATTAACAGAACAATGTTCAGGGAGGTCAGCCACCTGCTATGACCAGGGGATAGGGAAGAGAAAACAGGAGTAATCCAGTGATGACACATAACTGCAACCACTTAATCAATGCAAAAGTCCATTGGATTAAATCTGCTTAGTGAATTCTGCACCGTTCACTTCTTGCTTATCAGAGGTTTAATTAAGTGACTCACCTGTTTCCATGAGACTTCGCAGTCGTCTCTCCACCACTGCAGCTCTGCTGTCGATGTGCTTCTGTTCTGTCTCCAATGCTGCCAGCTCACTCAACACATACTGGCTGGTGTCCTGCAGAGACTGACCACAAGCCACCATCATACACGTACAAAGACACGCAGACGAATAGAGGCAAACACACACAACCACACACGAACATACAGAATGACGACAGAAAGCCATAAATAGAGGAAGACAAGAGATCAACAGAAAGAGGGGGTCGGACAGCAGAAAGGGGAGGGGGACATACGAAGAGAAGCAGAAGAAGAGGGTCAAAAAGATTAGAGAGGTCAAAGGATGGAGAATATAAGATGTGAATGATGAACTGGATAGCTGTTATTCAGTACTTTTTGGAGCCATCAATTAATGATGATGTGAGAATCAAAATGATATAGAAATGAAATAAAGAACAGAAAAGGGGAAGAACACATGACTGACCATTGTTTCCTCGTCTTGTTTTGGAGGCTGGGGCTCATCTGCACGCTGAAACTCTGCAAAAATTGAAATACACAAATCAGAGTAGGGAAAAAAGTGAGGGAAAGAGTGCTAAAACAAATGCTTCAAATGTTAGAAAAG